AGCACCGCGGCGCTTCACAGGACCGACGCTCTAGCCTCGAACAGAGCTTTCTAGAAAAAGACAACCTTGTTGCATCCAGGTCCCCTACATAGGGTAAGATGCCCTGGGCAGCCCCGTCAGAGCAGTTCATGGTCTGTCCGGGCGCCCAGCTGCCGCGGTCACTAATACGCGCGTAGCCGCTCTACACGATGGCCTCCGCCTCCAGGGCACTGAAGCCAGAATTTCTGCCCTTCTCTCTTCTGCGGCAAGTCTTTTAATTTATTAAATAAAATAAAACAATCCCGTTCCCTTAAGTGATCTGTCTTCTCTTTACAACCCAACATAAACGCACGCGGGGCCCATCTTTTGGGCAAACACTAAACCTGGCTCGCGCCTCTTCCTGATCCCCGCACTTGGGTTTATTTTGAGCGCCTCTCCTTACGCAGAACTGAGTCTCGGGAGACTGCAGTCATGCGGTGGGGACGCGCAAGCCCGAAGCGGCAGGGTGAGGAGGGCCGGGATCTGGCCCCGGGGGTGTGGGGGGGGGGGGGCTTCCTCCACTCCTGCCTTTCTCATCCACAGTATACTTCTCCGGTGCCAGGACACTCACTTCTGCCACCGCGGCCCATTCTGCCAGGCCTAGTGCAACAAGGGAAGACTATTAGAGCGGGAAAGAACTTTCTGGAACACCGGACTCTTGGCCGTTCAGTTAGAGCCCACCCTCAGGCGGTTTCGGCACCTCCCGCGCCACTGGGGCCGGGCCTCACAGTGGTGGAACCACGGCCAAGGGCCGCAGGAGGAGCGCCAAGAAGGCCAAAGGTAACCGCACGGCGTGCACCCTGCGTATCTGCTTTCCCGCCAAGCCCAAGGGAGCCGCCCGGCCAGGAGCCCCGCACCCCCCTCGGCTGTGCCTGCTTAAGTGGCAGCGCAGCCGCAAGAGGCGGGGGGCACCCCCGGCAGTCCTTGTCGCCGCGAAGCCAGGGGCCTGAACCATATTCTCTCCCACACTCCGCGGGGAGCAGGTTAGTTTTCCGAGCGCTGCTGGAGTAGCTGGAAATACGTGGTGGGAGAGGCCTTGATCTGCATTTCTGCATTCTGCTTTGCATTCCATGCACGCGCACGCGCACGCACGCACGCACGGCTGTTTGGTGCTGTCACCAGCGCTTCCGGGCCCAGCTGTCGAGAGTAGGCAGCTCTGGCCGGTCCTGTCCCGAGGGCCGTGTTTGCCTCTGCGGCCTGCTCTGGCCCCGGGGCCGCCCGACGCCCACCCACCATCCCGGCAGAAGGCTCTTCGCGGCAGGGGCTGGTCCTGGGAACTTCGGGTTTCCTTCTGCCCCCAGGCTGGGCCGATGGCCTCCTCCCTCTTTTTTCACACCCTCTGGACTGGAACAGAAATGCCTTATTGGCCGAACAGTCTCCCAGACAGCCCCAAAGGGTGGGAAAAGATCTATAAAACCCCGCCTGTGAATAGCCCCAATCGGCTTCTCCTCCCTTCCACCTTGTAAACCCCTAAGGCCCAGCCAGGGAAGGCCGAGGTCATTGTCCTCAGGACTGTGGCCTGGGGCGGGGGCTGAGAGTTCATGCCCGCCCCCCCCCCCCCCCCCCCCCCCACTGCCCTGGGAGGTCCAGACCGCCCTCGTAAGCCCCCACCTCCCTGAGGCTTCCGACGCCCGGGCCCTCTCTGCGCCCCCAGCCCCGATCCAGGGCTGAAGGAGTCTAGGCTCCCGTCCGTAGGCACGGAGGGTCCCCGCCCCACTCTCTGCAGTTGGAGGCCGTTCAGCCCCAGGCGCCCTGGGGAGAGGACCCTCCAAGGGACCATCCAACCCTAAAGCGGCTGCATGCTGTCACCTGCCGGTGGCACCCATAGCAGCCCCTTCCTGACTTCTCAGGAATGGGAATGTTCCAGGCAGGCCGGCCGGCAGAGGCAACGGGCCCGGGATGCCCAGAGATCCGTCCAGCAGGGCGGACAGTGCGGGTCGGCCCTGCTGACCGGGGCGAGCAGAGCCCCCCTCACGCCCCTCATCCTGCCACCGCGCCGCTCAGCTGCAGAACCGGGAAGTGGGTGGCCCAGAACGGAAAGCTCTGAAAACATTGGCGCAGCCCGTGTTTGGGTTTCGCCAAGTGTCCACGCTGAATCAGCCGGGTCAGGGAAGAAAGCCAGGTTGCTCTGGAAACATCTGTCTGAGGCCTTTCTTTTGGAGCTCTGTTCATTTTAAATGGATGGTTGAAGGTTAGGGACACAGTTTACTATTTCTGGTTCCTGTACTTGGGACATGGGTTCTGCCTGCTTTTGTGACATGTCTGTACCTCGTTTGGGAGGGAGACTGTTATTTCTATGTTTTGATTTGAAATTCCAATAAAAATAAATGCTTTCAAACCCTGTCATCCTAAAATAGAGGCCAAGAGGGAGAACTGAAACATCTTCCCTTGTATTTCTTCCCCTGCCCCACCTGCATTTCCGGTCCTGGTACAGCCTGGGCGCCCAGCACTTCTGCCCCGGCCACTGCCCAAAGCCCAGGGCCAGGTGATGGGAGCCAGGCGGGCAGCAAGAGCTCCTCGGGATGTCCCTTCACCCCCTTCCTGAAGCTCAGCCCCTCAGCCCAACCGGGCAGGAGAAGAACGGCGGCTGCCTCAGGCTGGCCAGGGGCTGCCAGCCAGGCCCAGCACAGTGGGGAGCACCCCGGGGACATTGGAGGCCTGGCCCCTCAGTCCAACCATGGATTGACCCAGCCTGTTTCCAAACATGCTGGAAGCCAAGGTGACCTGGGGAGATGTGCTCCTGTCCACCCGACTTGCTCTTCAAAGACACATGGTCTGCTCCCTAAGGGGCGGAGGAGCGCTTCCATTCCTAGAGCCCTTGGTTCTGGGGAGGACAGCTGACTGGCAGGTAACCGATGAACTCGCTCAGAGGACAAGGCTTTACTTCTTGCTTTTTAAATAAACCTGTTAAAACACCGCCAGTTCTGTGCTTGACTGCCTGGCTGGGTGGGGGGGGGGGGCGGGCTTGCTCAGTGGCCCCCACGTCCCAGGGGGGGCTCGGCGGGCCAAGGGTGCCTCACAAAGGAGCGAGCCTGCTAACGGACTACTGCTGGCGGGGAGCCCCCAAACCACCCCTGGGAAATGCCGGGTTCCTGGCAGCCAGTAAAGGCCGAGTGTGATTCAGGGTCAAACTGACGCACCACGTAAGGAAGCCGCTCTCACTGGACCAGGGGACCGACGGTGACTGGTGGGCCCCTCCTGTCCCGGGCGCTCTGCTGCGGGTACGCCGTCTTGTTGGGAAACGGGCTTGTTCTTCTCTATTTCTCCCACTCCTCCTGGGGGGCAGCTCAGCCCCCCGTGTCTGCTTAACGAGAGAACTACAGCAGGGCTTGGGGGAACCGCCTAGGCCAGAAAGGAGTTCTGGGGGAGCAGAGACCAGGACCCGTGCCGCCCAGAAAGTGTACGAGACAGCCACGCGGACGGGTCTTTGTGCCGTCTCCATGGGGACTCAAGATGCCATTTTCCCAAAGCTTGTGTCACCTGACCCCGCCCTCACCCAGGCCCATTGCTACAGCAAATAAAGAGTGCAGGCCTCGGTGACAGGTGGGCTGTCCCTGGGGAGCGTGTGACAGTCCAGGCCATGAGGAGCTGTCACAGGGAGGGAAATCCTGAGCCACGTGGACCCACATTCATATCCTGTCACTTACTAGGTGGGGATCTGCCCAGTTAAACCTCTCTGGGGGGAGGGCGGGCCCCGCTGGGGGAAGCTGGGCCCGGCAGCCTTCCTCCTTCACCGGCACACCCACACCCTTGTCTCCACAACGGCCCATCTTCTGTCCCCAGGGCTCCTGGGCCCCCTGCAAATTCTCCCGCCTGCCCCGAGGCCACCCTTGGAAAAGGTGCTATGTGCACCTGTGGAGAACAGCAACCCAGGGAGGGCAGTGGGCTTTCTAACCTCAAGCCCCTTGCACGCCCCGGGCGGTCTGCCATGGCTGCTTTTCTGCAATCAGAGGACATGTGCAGAAAACAGCACGCTAGTCCGAGCTGTCTGTCCCCTCACTGCAGGGCAGCCACGGGCATCCCGCCGTGTGGGCGGGAATTCGGGGCATCCACTCACCCCTCCTCCCTCACCGTCCCCATGGGGGACAACACCCGGCACAGGCAAGGCCCCCAGTGTCGCAGGCCGAGAAGGCAGACACGGCACAGGCCTCAGCCAGGGCAGTGACGGGGCAGGGGACTGGGGGCGGGGGGTGCCGGTTCAGGTGACACCTCAGGGACGGGCCGAAACTGGTTGCAAGACTCAGGGGATCATGGGAGCAAGGGAATTAGCTGTCTTTGTGTAAAATCCCATGCGTGGGGTGGCTCAGCCCTGCCTCAGTGGCTTTGAGAGACAAAGGGGGGCTTTAACTTTCTGGAAGAACAAGAGTCAGCTAACCACTGGGCCGACGGGTTGCTCCCGGCCACAGGGAGGTACGGAGCAGCTGTGTGCACGTGGACAGGCGTAGTCTGCGCCCCCCGGTCCCTTCCTGCTCCACCTGGTAGGCCCAACACGCTCACGCAGACCATCTATTCCAAGTCGGCACAGGGAGCAGCGTTCTTACATTTATTAAAATTCAAAAATCAAAAGGATTCTTGTACCACCGTGGTATACAAGGCACATATCCTCATATGCAGAACACGTGTAACAGTGAAGAGCAAACCCCCGGGAAACCTTCTAGAATAACAGGCCCCATTAAAGAATTCTGAAGACCAAGAGCTTCTGATGAAGGAAGGTGTTAACGCCACGCTTCCTCCCACAGGCCAGATGTAGAGCGAGGTGCACTTGGTTCTGGAGCCGGGCTCGGGCTTGCACAGAGCAGCGGCCTGGTGGCTGCACGCCGTCCCCCCTCCACACGGCGCCTGCAGCCTGGTCTCCAAGTGCAGGGAGAGCCATAAGGGGGGGCCGGTGGGCGGGAGAGGGGCGGGGCCAGCTTGCAGAGAATACCCCTTGGGTAACACCGTTTTTTTTTTTTAATTATTAAATTCAGAAGCACACAGGAATACAAAAATAGTAATCCACTGTTTTATTGTGAATACGTCTTGGATTCTTACCCTGCCTTTTTACCAAGGGTATTAACGTTTGGACAAATTTGAACAACAGACCCAACAATCAAAATAATCCTGCAGAATCTTTCTGAAATGATCTAGAGAAGAATTCCACTGGTCCCAGGATACAGAAGCTGACTTCCTGGAATTCTAGAAATCTCCAGTGCAGCCATATGCTGAGGGGATCAATGCAAAATGTTCAGCAGCTTTTCCAATGCATCTCAGGCAGCTTTCATCATTTGTGTGAAAGAAGCGCCTTCGCCTCACAGAAGAGATCCAACGCAGACTGAATATCTCGAGGTGGCAAGTTCAGGGCAGGGGACAAAGGCACCACGCGGTCCATGAGCTCCAGGGAGAGCAGCCTCGGGAAAGAGAAGCACCAAGGCGTGGATGCTGCCGGCTGCTGGCTTTAGCAGCCCCGTTACCCTTCCTGCGATGTCCAGGGCTAAGTGTAGATGCATAAGAAAGAATCTCGCTGTGACCTTCCCTGAAAAGGAAAGAGCAGTAAAATTTACTGCCTGGTAACAGAGGAATGCTTATAACCTGTACCTCTGCTCGCCTCCGCTCCGGCTTCGGAGAGAGGACCTGAGCAGAGGACGGGAGGAGACCGGCTGCACCTCACGACCCCGCCAGTGGGGTTCACAGCTGCGTCGCTCGCACACGGCCGTGAGAGCCGGGGGCCGCAGCCCGGCCTTCCTTGCCCCACACGGCTCCGGCCCCCTTCACTGCACCTGCTCCCACAGTCTCAAGGTGCCCCACGCAGCGCTACCTGCGGTCCGCCTCTAGGATGGAAGCTCACGCCCTCCAGGCGCCAGGGCACAAGGGCTCTATGGACAGCCACACCCCAGGGCCACATACAGATGGGCACCGCCACCGACGCGTGGTCCTCACGTGGGCGCAGTCCCAGCTCCGGAGCCTCTGGGCACTTGCAAACAGGAAGGCTTTTTGCTCGAGGGCTCGACTCCTGTTCCTGCTGAACTGAGCCAGTGTGTAAAATGAGAACTGATATCAGCTCAGTAGGCACCGGAGGGCGGGTCCAATCGACAGCCCGGAAGCAGTGCCTCAGCTGGGAGCTCGGTGCCGTCCTGCGGGGGCTGCGAACACAAAACAGAGGTTACCGTGCTCGGCAAACTGCGAGCAGGGCTCGCCTGGAAAGCACCAGCCCCACTCACATGCAACCCACTGCTGACATAGTTTTCACTTGATTTTCCTGGTGATGCCTTTAGCTTTAGTTCTTAAGAGAAGAAGTAGTTTTGTAGCTTTCAATACATTTGACCTTTCAGACAGATGTCTAATTAGTGAGTTTATATTTCCGCAGACTTTTGATACATTCATGTATTCACGACAGGAGGGAGGCGCATCCTCGGAGCCGAGCGGGTCTCGTAGCCTCCAGAAATCGCGCCCGGCACCGAGCGGACCGCTCAGCGGCGGCCTCTGCCCCAGCAGCTTAACTGTCCCCATCTCACCTTCTCTTCAGGTGCAGAACTTAGCCACTGTGAACAAAGCGGAAACCAGTCACTGTTCACCAATCAGCTAAGCTCTGCACCTCGGCAGAGAGGTCGTCGGCTGGGCGTAAGGAGCGGGCCGCCGAGCGTCTTCCACAGCTGTTGCTTCTTCTGTTTCCGGAGAAGAGCTACAAGATGCGTCTGTTCTCCGAACTGCAGAGAGAGAGAACTACGGCTTCTGAAGGAGCAGCCAAGGTCATGGCTGCGTGGTAATCCCTGGCAATGTGATTTTAATCTTAAGTCACAAATCAGCATGCCAGGAACCCAAGCAGCCAGAGCACCGGAGCAGCGCCAGGCGCCGCCGTCCACCCGCCGGCCACCGCGCAGCCTCGACTTCGGCTCGCTGGGCATTTTACCTGGCGTCCTGGAGGCCCAGCCCACAGCCAGAGGACTCAGCGGCGACCACGCGCGCCCGTGCAGCTTTGGCACACGGAATGAAAAATGCAACCAGCAGCTGCCCCTACGTGGTTCGCCGCTTCCACCTTGGGGGCCCGGGGTTCTCAGTGAACAGGGCCGGGGCGTCCCCCGCTGGAAGATGCCACTGTCACTGAGCAGGAGCTACAGGGAAGGGGTGTGCATGTGGCCCTGCGTTGATTCCCAAGGGGCAGGGACAGGAGGGGAGCAGACTCGTGACCGGGGCTCCCCCGAAAACTCCAGATGGAGAAGCGAAAGCCGTGGAGCCCACTGTGGCTCCCCACAAGCTGCAAGGGGGCAGGGGGAATGCCCCACTGTATGCACAGTCTTCAGGAAACCCCAACTCTCCACGAAATAAAACATGTCAGAGAAGTAGGGTTTATCCCGCGGCTACACAGGGTGGCAGCAGGAGAGGCTTGCGGTTTTTCCTGCCGGCCAGGCTCTGCCCAGGACGCGCCACCGCCGCCACGGGGACGGTGGGGGAAGGACCATGCACGGCTGTTGCACTACAAGACGTACAATCATGGCAAATACCCCCACTATTTCCTTTTCCTGGCAAACATGTTTCCTGGACTTTTCTGGAAGAACGGGATCATACTTTAGAAAACCCTCTCCTTAGTATTGAGTTCTTTCAAATAAATAAGATATTTAAACACGTCAGAAATGGTTTTGTTAACAGCAAAACAGAAGCACACTGAAAGTCTGACAACAGATTAAGAATATCTACATAAAATATTAAATAACCATGAAGAAGAATTCTACATGTAGAGAAGCTGTATAAACATCAAAAATGCTTCAGATTTGATGTGAAGTTAAAAAAAAAAAATGATACAAAATTAGGCCCCATTATATCACATAAAGGCTCGAAGAACAACGAGAAGAGACAGAAGCCGTGGTGGCTGTCACGGGCCATGCTCACAGCCCCACAGTTCTACCTAAAGCTTCCCAGACCATTGGGATGTGACTTTTAAAATGCAGAAACCCAGTTAAAAACAAACTGCTAGGATGTAAATCTAACAGGTCAATTCCAAGCACAATTAACCGGAGCAGTTTAAATAATTTAGGGCTCGCACTCCAGTGCAGACCAGGGAGAAATTCTGCTCCAATGCAAGGTGAGAAATAAGCCGGGCACGGGGTTGTCGAGAAGTGCATGGTGCACTCTGGCAGGTGGCCCCGCAAGTTCTCCTGAAGATGGGGGTCCGGGGGACCAGGGATGCACACAGACATCTGCACGGAGCTCAGGGTTCAGGGTAACCTGGCCACGTGCTCCCATATGAGCCCTCACCTGGACGACTGGATCAGTGCTCCAGCGGCCTCCCCAGGCCACTGTCTAAATACTCCAAGTGCTCTCCCATGTTTCTGTCCCTACAAGTAACAGAACCTCAAGTGGACAGTGCCAGGAGAGCTACTCTGGCCAGAGCGGGCCACATGCTGCAAGCAGGTGCCTACCCTGCCTGCCCTCCCAGGCCACAGGCCACTGGCCACTGGCCACGGAGCAGGAGCAGAGAACCGTGGCTCAGCACCTCATTAGCAGCTCATGTGGCTCCAACGAGGAATCTCTGGTTAGAGCTGAACAGCGGAGAAAGGGAAGGGAGAGAATCACCTCTTCAGAATAACATCTCGGCCACCACCTCGGCTGAGGATCTCTCCATCTGCTCCTTGGTCAGCTCAAAGCACCGGTGGGCGACCTGCTGCTGCCTGGAGTCTTCGCTCAGCATCAGCTCCCCGTAGAGGTACACACCCATGGCCTGCAGGGCACAGGGGCAGAGCAAGGGAGGGACAGGAATGAAGCGTCCGCATGCACACAGTCCATGCTGCTTGCTCACAAACTTGCCCGTCTGGGAATGACGAGAGACCCGAGAAAGACAGATGGTTGACCAGCTGTACTTCTGCAACCTACAGTTTTCCATTCCTTGTCTCTCGTTCACACTGACCCCCTCCCCCCCAGAATTCTTAGCTATCCATTCCATCAACAGAACCTTGACAACCTGTTTCTCCAGGGATGACTGTGTCAGGAATGCCAGGTACAGGCAGGTAGGCCCCCACAATGCCCGCCATGGAAACCCGCACGGCTGCAAGCAGGCCTTCCTCGCAGGACAGTGCCCCCAGCACATCCCATGGTGCCTCAAGAGGGAGAACCGTCCTGCTGCCCTGGAACAGCTGCCCACTGCTTCTGCCCGGCCCAGCCGAGCCCCCCAGCCTTGCCCACCCGGGCAGCAAACACCACCTCTGCAGTTTGCTACAGTTTGAAAAATAGCCGATTATATCCTGGAAGACCAAAAGACCCCTTTGGTTCTGCCTTTTCTCTTGCTCCAAGCACAGTTATGCATTACATTCTGCTGGAACAAATTAAAATAAAGATCTCAAAGACAGCACAAGATAAAAACTCGGTAGTCTGGGGCTCAAAAACGTCTTCCCTGAGAAAGCTGACTTGTAATCCTTATTTGGCAAAGGTCTTGGCTCTAAAAAAGCAGTTACTTTTGGTTTTCAAAAGAAACCTTAAGTTGCTTCTTACATTCTGTCCCTGTTTCCAAACACCTCTGCTCCAACTGTGCAAATGTGACATTTCTTCTGCTACAAAGTCATGTATTTTTCTTTGTGGGAAGAACGAGCCCTTCCTTGCTGGCTGCCCCCCATACTTGGGCTCTCTCAAAAGTCCCTTTGTTCGCCCCACCCCCACGGAAGCATGGCTCCATTCTGCCAGCCCACGGTGCCCAGTGCAAAGCTCGCTCAGCGGCACACAACGGTCATGCTAACAGCAATGCCTTCCAGAAGCTGACAGAACCTGTGGCACATGCACCACCCCCCACAGCCACGCCGGGCAGACGTGGGTGTGCAGAGGCGGCAAGGAGGGCACCCCCGAACATGTTCACGCTCCTTCGTGCTTCCTGCGGGCTCTGGGGAAGGCAACCGCCTTCCCCCGTGAATAGTGAGGAAAGTTCTGGCAGGACGGGAACTGGAGGGGGGTGGGGGAGACGGGATGACACACAGAGGCGCGGCGGGGCGTGGCTGGTGTGGGCACAGACCAGGCTGTCCTAGGCAGTCGGGGCTCTCCATGACTACTCAGAGCCGCTGAAGACATGGGCGCACACCGGGACAGCTAAGCCAAGGCCTGGCCCAAGACCTGGTGACGCCGTGAGGTCTGCATGTGCATCATGTGGTAATGACAGTGGTCCACAGCCACGTCAAACCAACATTTTGGTTTGCTTTAGGGACACCGAGAGAGGGGAAAATCAGCTCCAGAATGTGTTAGGGAAGCTCCTACCTACTTCCTAAAAATCTTTGCAAAGGGCGCCTGGGTGGCTCAGTTGGTTAAGCGACTGCCTTCGGCTCAGGTCGTGATCCTGGAGTCCTGGGATCGAGTCCCACATCGGGCTCCCTGCTCAGCGGGGAGTCTGCTTCTCCCTCTGACCCTCTTCCCTCTCTTGTGCTATCTCTCATTCTCTCTCTCAAATAAATAAAATCTTTAAAAAAAAAAGAAAAAATCTTTGCAAAATATTTAAATATTTGTTATGAAAGAGAAGTTCACAACCTGGGTCCCTGTGTTAGTAAGTGCACTGGAAGTCAGGGGACGGAATGAAAGAATTCCCATCTGCTGAAAAAGGAAACTTACCTGATCCTCCTGGAGGAATCTCTCCACGTCTTTGTAGGCTTTTGTGTATTTGTGCTTAACAATGAGTTCACACCATCGATGGCGAACCTTAAGGAAGGAGGGAAAATCCAGTAAGCAACAAACCGGGGGGGTTTCCTCAGCCTGTCTTAACGACAGAATTTGTATCAGCAAAAGTCACTCTCTCAACTGTATTAATGTTGCTGACACCTTGTTGTAAATTTTGTTTTAGTTTAATTTCATGTACAAAGAAAGGAACCATGTTCCTCACTGGACTGCGGTGTGTCAACTTTAGAGGAAGACAGGACATGGTTCAGATAAGTGTTCTGATGTTTTTATTTTTTTATTTTTTTTTTAAGATTTTATTTATTTATCTGAGAGAGCGAGAGAATGAGAGAGAGAGAGAGCATGAGAGGGGGGAGGGTGAGAGGGAGAAGCAGACTCCCTGCCGAGCAGGGAGCCTGATGTGGGACTCGATCCTGGGAGTCCAGGATCACGACCTGAGCCGAAGGCAGTCGCTTAACCAACTGAGCCACCCAGGCGCCCATGTTCGGATGTTTTTAAATGCAATTCTGCAAGACACCAGATAAATGCAAAACATAACTGGGCAATGAAGCACACTGCCCAGCCAGCCCAGCTCTGCCCCGCAGCATGCGGTCAATGGACATGCCCTTCGAAACGACGGCTGCTTAATCTCCGGCGATGACCAATTCAGTTCAACGCTGTTGATCATAACAATAGACAGTGAGAGCAGGAAGACACGGTCCTCCACATTGCCGAGAAGATGCACAGCACGCCTCTGCAGCACGTGGGGAGGGCGCCTGAGGCCAGGAAGGAGGGCAGAGCCCTTGCCACAAGCAGCCTCCTGCCCCCGTGTGCCCATGGGGTGCCACACGTCTACACAGCCTGCCGCAAACAGCCCAGCTCACTGCGGGGGCCGTTCAGTCCAGATCCACTTGACTCAAGGTTTCCCAGAATGAATTTGCTAGAACCCCAGCCCCTCCAGACAATACGGGAGTCTGGGCCCAGGACTAGTGGTCTCTGCTGGTGGAGGCAGAGCCCCAGCATCTCCTGGCACATTCCTTAGGTGGAGAATCTACCTGAATTCGGTTTTCAGAATCCAGTCGCAGGCCCATGCCTACTGCCCCAAGTCCTCTCAATTATACGCAGCAAGCAGTCCACCACTTTCTATTCCTTTACTGGCTCAACATCAGCCCTCCACGGAAGTGATTACAAGCACCTAAAAAGCTTCCTTCCTTCCCTCTTTTGTTTTTATTGCCTTTGAAAGAGGGAGACCCTGCACAGTAATCCATTTGTGGCAATGGGATAATATAAGCAATTTCAACATTTTGGCTGGGGCCCCTGTAAATTATATCATTACCCACTGCTGGCCGGATCTTTCCTTTAATCTACTATAAATAGATTTACACACAAACAAGTAGAAATGAAACAAATCCAGGAAGAATCCTTCCCCTGGGCTACAGTGCACTCCCAAGACTGGGTGTTAACTCAGGGGTTCTGCCCTTTGCTTGTGGGCAGCAAGCCCTTTGAACTTCTAAGGACAGGATGCCAACGAACTTTACATCCACGAAGGAATTTCAGAGGCGCATGGAAATGAGCTAATAGCCTCGGAGCATCACAACAAACGGGAAGAGACTGGACTGGATGGGTCTTGGCAATCTTTCCATCTTCCAAAAGATGTTCTTTCCTCATAGCGAACAGAAATGAACAGACCATAAAAGGGAAAGGGCAGCCCCTACAATATTCTCACAGAAAAGGACAAGCAGACTGAGCTCTGAGAAGCCAGCTTGTCATACTACACCAATCAGAAGCCACTAGAACCACCAGACACCCCGCTCCCGGGCCCTGGAAAGCACCCGACCAGGCCCCACTGGATGCCCTTTCACTGTTTTCTCCCAGTCATGCTCATCTCAACCCCTCAGACAGCCCCAGCGGCACCTTGCGAGCTTGCACAAAACAGGGGCCAGCTCGGCAAGGTCAGGAGAAGGCCCCTGGCGAGCAGGGGGTGCCCTGGTGGGAGGCCCACCCTGCGGGGCTGACGACTGCTCTGTGCCCCGCCCGGGGCCCTCATGAAAGAGCGCCCCTTTCCACCCTGCCCACGGGGTGCTCTCCTCTCCCTGATGCACAGAGACGGCAATAACAAGGCCCACCTGGGGGCCTACTTCGTGGCAGAAGAGGGCCTCCAGGCAGGCGGAGGCAGGGTGGTCCCACCACAAGGGGGCGAAAGTCCAGGAGGCCCAAGCGAAAGGCTCTTTGACACCAACATGAGGTCAGCACAGCCATCTCTCTTACTGTTAGAAAGAGATTACTGTCACAAGAAGAGATCTAGTTTTCTGACCCCTGAAGGCCAACATGGCATCCAGGAAGCACAGCCCAGCGTCCCTTCCCCTGGAAGAGCAGAACAAACAAGAAGCCTTTTCTTTACAAAAGAGCTCAGTGCATTACAGCACTTCAGGGGCAGGATGTTTACAAGACACCACAGAGATGCTTCGTGAGGCTGAGGGCCTGACAGATGTTTCTTGCTCCCGCACAGGGCTTTTACCTCTCTTCTTATTTCTTTCACAAAGAAAACCCTCATTTTTTATCCCCTAAACTCCAGGAGCTAACCCGCATGGCCACTTGTCACCACACATAATGGGGGTCTTTCCAAAAAACTGGCAGCAAAATGATGTTTGTCTCAATTTTTCCCAGCAATATTTCCAAAGTATGTACTGACAGAATATTCCCCTTCCAGATGACTGAGAAACTGGAGAATCCTTGACAGGGGCCATCACATATGTGTATCACGCTCCTTCCCCCACTGGAACTGGAGAAAGTGAGGTTCCTGTGCTGGGGGGCCAGAGCCAGAGAATTTGGAGCAGGCCTCTGAGCAGAGGACTGTCCATCCCGTAGATCTGCCCTTCCTCATTTTCTATTTAACTAAACAATGGGGTAGCGGCCGCCTTGTCTGTCACTCCGTCAGTGAGCTCCCCGGCAAATACCGCGCATGCACAGGACTGTGCCCGCGCCTGGCGCGCCTCCCCCCACAGGTTCCCGGGCTCCTGGGTTCTGCTCATCGCGTTTCCCTGTTGCAGGCGCTCACACAGGCCCACACGGATCAAATCCCACTTTAAAGATCCGCGTTTTACTGTACTTCAGTTATGTCAATAGAGCTGAAGACATTTAATGACCTTCTGAACGAGGACTCAAATTCTCCTCACTCCAACCTCGTGCCAGGCAGCACCTGAAAGCGCCCCAGCAGCCAACATCCCAGTCCCCAAGGCCGTCAACGTGGTCAGCCGGCCAGAGAAGGGGTGAGGAGGCACGGGGGGGGGGGGGCAGAAGAACCAGAACCTGAGGAGGATGAGAAAAGGGGCATTTCAGAAGTGAAGAGAGGCAGAGCTGCCCCAGGTGACGAAGGGCAGGGTCCCAGGGACCCCGAGGGCCGGCGCCCTCCGTCCCGCTGCTCTGCGACAGTGTGCATGGCAGGGTGCTGGAGGCCTTCCTCCCGCCGCGCCTTCCCTGCGGGTCCCGTCCCCCTGCCATGGCCACATGGGGGGCTCCTCGCACACACGAACCATTCAGCACAGCGGGTGGCCCACGACTGAGAAAGAATGATAAAGAAAAAGAGAATGTAGGTCCCTGGTTCTTCCCACAAGGTCACAAGGAAGGCTGATACACAGACATGCATATACAGGTGTGCGCCCATAAATCCTCCAGTCCAACGAAAGCTAGTCTGAAACTCTGCTCTTCAGAGTTCTGCTTAAGGGATATACTGAACAGAAAAATGATGTGGGTGCTGCCCTCGGTGCACAGGTGAGTTTTAATACAGCAGTGCTAATCTGCACCACTGGAAATGGATTCCAAAAGTTTCCAGGTTTCCAAAGCCTCCATGAACAAAGGGTGGTAAGTACACAGACATTAATGTTCTCCCTGGGGATGGCCAACAATGGGACTGGTTCTTTGGGGTTGGGTGCCAGAACTGAGGTGGGAACAACGAAGGGGAGGTGTGCAGAAGCAGATTCATGTCGGACCCACTTTTGGTGACAGAGAATAAAAACCCTCCAATAATCCACATAACTGCTCCAGACTGGTGGATCCCTGACCTGTAGCAGGCACTCCTCCAGGAGGAACTCCGCCAGGAAGATGGGCTGTGTGTGTGGCAACAGGCCTGAGCCCCTGGGAGGCCTGGCAGACGTGTGGCCTGGCTATCCAAAAGGTATCCTGCATTTGACACGTATAGCTGTGTATACATGTGCACACACACGGAATCCTTTCCCTCAACTCTGGTATTTTCTTTCCCTTTTTTTTTTTTTTTAAAGATTTTATTTGCGAGAGAGTGCATGAGACGGGGTGGGGCAAAGAGAGAAGCAGACCCTCCACTGAGCAGGGAGCCCGACTCAGGACTCGATCCCGGGACTCCAAGATCATGACCTGAGCCGAAGGCAGTCACTCAACCAACTGAGCCACCCAGGTGCCCCTCACTCTGGTATTTTCTGTCCTTTTCTTTCTGCTGGTCAGTGAGCTACTCAATTGATTTCATGACCCACGGTGCCCTGAGCCACAGAGCCCGAGGCCCCAGGCTGGAGACCTGGGTCTGCCACTCAGCCCCGTCAGCGCAGCCCAGCTCCCCTGGGTGGGCTAAGACGAGGGTGGTCCCTGTCTGGCTGCTGTGGAAACTGACTTGAGGGTGCCCATGGCGAGTGTACCTAAGGATATACTGAGTGCCTGTCACCTTAGCAGGAGTGGCATGTTTCTGGCTTTCTTTTCTATTTCAGAAGTTCTGTTATTTATTGAATTTATAAAAACTTGGGAGTATCATGTCAAGAAAGTGCTGTTAACTGGCGAAATGACAGAGCAAGGTGCCCGTCGGATGGCTGCTGGGCGAGGGGGTGGCCTGGAAGGTGTGTGAGGCAGAACAGCCTGAGATGGAAGGTGCAGATGGGGCTGGGCTCCCGGTTGGGGGTAGGGGGGTTGGGGCACGAGGTCCCCAGGCCTCTCTGGGCCCCTGCTTTGCCTGCAGTGACTGGATTCAGGAGTCTGAGATTCCCTGCGGGAGAAGAACAGGGGTGCCACCAGGGAGGGGCTGA